GGGGGGGGTAGAACTGAGAGATACTTGGTCTGAATTGGTGACCAAGGGCTGCATTGGTGACCAAGGCCTTTGTGCTCAGTTATCTCCCCTTCTCTACTGAAACCTTGCCCCATCCTTATGAAGGTTACTCCCATTTAACAGGTAAGAAAACTGAGACCTAGCAAAGTTGTCTGATCTGCCTGAGCTCACAGAACATTCTTCATAATCCATGTGGCAACATGTCTGCCAAGGGTGCTGGAATCATATGGTTCTGTTTAATCAACATCTCATTCTATGGATGGGAATCTCAAAAATAAGAACAGCCTCGACCAAGGCCTCACATAAACCAAAGCTCAAGTCTCCTGGCTTCTCCAAGAAGCCCCAGGGTGGGAGATAGGCTTCCCAGACCTTTCTCTGCCTGCTGGCCTTGATTCCAAGGGGTAAGTATGCTGGCTGCCCAGTGGGACAAAAGGAAGAAATTTACCCTTCTGGGTTTGGGGGCATCTGTGAGGACCCATTACGGATGCAAAGGCTCATCCCAAGGCAGCCAGACCCAAGGCGGCCAGGTCTGGAGACAACCACACAGGGCCTATCCTCTTCCCCATCCCCCATGCCTGTCAGGGAGAGAGTTTCAAGCAGGCCTGGAAGCATTGAGACCCCTGCAGAGGCTGCAGCAGACTGCATTTGGAGGCTCAATTCTGATGCTGCAGTGGAGGGGCTGAATCAAGGGCAGAGAGGGGCTGGTGTAGAATAGCAATGAGCCAGGCTTCTGGAAGCCAGCCAACATCAGGTTCAGAGGAAAGTCGGGAGCTGTCAGCCAGGTTGGGGGAGCATCACAGGGAAGAAATGTCGCACACACACATACATTCTCACTCACACATGCACATGCGTCCATACGCTACTTAAGGTATTCTTCACTGAAAGCTCCCAGGGAAGCTACTATGGAACCCATGTAAATGCCTGTGCGTTTTGACTGGCTGATGTGAATGTGTGGCCACCTGACTTCTTAGCTCATGTGATACCAGATGATTACTAGAGATATGCTCCCATTTCAAAGATAGATACACTGAGGCCCAAGGAAGAGTGTGACCTGGCCAGGTATCCTGTCTCCCATCCCTGGCTTGTGAGAGCTATACCTAATGCCTGCGATCAGGACGCCAGACCCTGGGCTGGGCTTGTCATTGGCCCAAGCTCCTCATGGGCTCTTGGAAGTGGCCAAGCAGACATGGGAGATAAAGTAACAATTCTTCCATCCTCTTCTCTGCTAACTGTTCTGCTGCATCCTCCTCCCCCACCTAGTCACAGGAGGGACCATGCACGCCCCCTCCCCTACAACAGCAATGGGCCAATTATGACCAATAAGAATCCTCCCCTGGAACAGGCATGTGGAAACTTGAGCAGATGTCCCCCTCCCCTTAGGACTCCTGCAGCTGTGGTTTTGCCTGTGGAGAAGGCCCATGAAGGCAGAGGATCAAAGCCAGCCCCAAGGAGATGCACAGACTGGCAGAGCTGAAGGGCAGACAGTGCCCTAGAGCACAAAGTCCCTCCCTCCCTGAGGCCCTGGTCCCTGCATTTCTGTCTTCAACTCTATAACTTATCAGTCACCCTTCCAAGCCACTAGGATGCATAAATTCTCTCTTTGGCCTAAACTGCCCCATGACGCCTCCTTTTCCTTGGACCACGTCCTTCCTTCATAGACCGCATCAAGGCCATGATTCAGTATGTTTTTGCATGATATTTTGTCCTTCTCTCTCATGAATGTAAACTCCCTGAGGTGAGACCTCTGTCTGAAGCTTTCACTGCTACCTTCCTTGCACCCAGCACAGGGTATCAGGCAAAGTGGGTGCTTGGTGGCCAAGTGAGGGAGTCCGTCTGTGCCTCTAGAGCTTTGCGTCTAGACAGACTATACCTTCCTTTGTGTCTGGCCAGCATTTCATCAGACTTAGAGAGTAAACTAGGAGGACTGGCTCCATGGGGCCCCTAGAATTCATCTGGCCCCCCTCCTTGACACCCAGGGCTGGAACAAGGCCCAGGAGGCCCACTTGATGCTGCTCTGGACAGCAGGCCCTTGGGACTGAAACTCCATGGGTTAAGAAGACCTGATTTTCTGGGTGGAAGGTCTCGGAGGTAGATTTGGGGCTGGACTGCTTTTCCCTCATACAACTCTCAGTACTTCTCTTTCCCGATGGCTAAGGATGCTGGCGGGTGCCTAATGGGTGCTGGCACAGCCATGCACCAGACACCCTACTAAGTACTCCACACACGTCATCTGCCCAAATGCCCCAGATGACCCCACAAGGTGGGCACTGTCATCTACAGTACACAGTTGAGGAAACTGAGGCTTGGGAAGCTGAGGGACTTGTTCAAGGTCACCAGGCTGGGAAGCAGCATATCTCAGAAGTGCTTGCCTGTCCCCTGCCTTCTAACATCCGCACCCTTCCCCACACCCTGAGGGAACGGGGGGGGGGGGGGGGCCCGGGGGGGGGGGCGG